GTACTGCACTGAGTTTTTTTAGTACAAGTACATTTTTTTATATAAATTACAGAGGTATTTTTAATCATATATACCCTGGTTTTAAGTGGTCCAGTGATTAGATTTCAATAAAATTAAGCTCATTAGATTCATCTCAATGAAAGGAATTTGATAGTATTTATTTTATCATAAATGAATCAATATTGACAGAATTAGCATTTGAAGTAACTTTATTAAATATATGGTATTTAAAATTTTAAGTACAATGTACTAACTGTACTGTACTGTACTGTACTGAAATTTTACCTCATACACCATATTTTCCCAATCCTGTCTATAATGGTGTTTTTCCTGAGCCTTTGCTGTTTTGGCATTGGTATTTCATACTAATGAAAAATTATCTAACCATTTTCTGTACATATGTTTATTAGTGTGTTGCATTACTGAGTGTTTCATTCAGGCTAAATATGTTTCTCTATAACTGATTCCTAATCGTTGAGAGACAATTTTTTTATTCCAATGATGGTTCTATCTATCGTGTAATAGATTAGCATGCGAAGATTTGTCATTAACTAATAATGGAGGGTTAAATTTTAAGATGAATATCATTGGTGTTCTTAGGTAAATCATTTAACTCGAAAAAGTAACTTCGTGATCGCCTGTATTCATAGATCCTGTTGTATCCAGCCTGATTAGGACGGGTTACATGAAATTTTGAAAAAGAGATTCTCAATGGAAATTTTCCCACCGAAGAAGAAGAGGAAGAAATTTTTTTACGTTTTTGGTTGTGTAAAGAGTGAACAATAGTCTGAGAAACAGAAGATATTATATCTTTATGTGAACTGAGGTTGTATGAAACTTCTGTATTAGAGTGTTGGCTAAGGTTTGTAAAGCCACTTTTTTTGTAGTATTCATACTGGAAAAGAGCTCATATTCCCTTGGGTTTGGTATAACGAAAAAAAACCTTGTAAACTACCAAGGCACCCTCACAGGGCCTCGTTCCCCTTTGAGTTTCCTAAGAAACTATAAAGAAAATAACCGGGTGCAATTTACTGCGGAAAACTAACAAAATAAAAAAAAGGGGAAAGAGTTTTTTTTTTGGATGTCTACCTTTAAGAAAATTCTATCCATTTAATATGCAGTACATATTGATTATCACATGCTATCAATATAATATTTAACGTGTTCGAATATTCAAATATTTAAATTAACTTTGAAAATTTGTTAAAAATTTTTAGATAGAAATTTCGTTTCCAATTTTTTTTTAAAAATATAATAATAATAATTACAAAAGGATAGAGGAAAAATTTGAAAATTTATAAATTTATTTATTTTTCGTAATATTAATGTTACTATTTTATATTGACAAAAGTGATTGATTATTAAAAATCTATTTTCCAGAGCAAATAACTTATATTAATTGTGATACTACCTCTTGATTGAACTGAATCTTGTATATAAAGTAATATTTAGAGTCATTTGTTTCATAAATCATCACAAAGCTTATAAACAAGATGAGTTTTGCAAGTAAAAAATTTATCAAACCAAACCAAAAGTTTTATAAGTTTCAAATTTTATAGTGGCACAGCAACAGATTTTATAAAGAATTTGAAATAATAAATTAAAGTTATTCGATTGAATATTATTTAAAAAATCGATTGTACGTGATCAATCAATCAATCAAATTAATCGATTTTCTACATGATGAAAATATGGAATGCATACATGATCTAAAGTCGATTCTATGGAATAGATATATAATATTTTTTTTTTCAAGTCATGAATGATAGGTGAAAAACTATACAGTATAAGCCGGATATTCATATAGTATCCTTTATCATTCTATTTTGGAAATCAAGGAACTTGGAAATCATTTGTTCCATATTTCTATTCCTATTTGTCTCCTTTGCTCTTTGTTGTGAATAATCCGAGTCCGTGACAACTATATTCTTCACACCTCCAACCTGCCCGTCTCTTTTCTTCTCAAAGTTGCGACCATACAATGTATTGTCGACCAATGATTCGAAAGGTCCAAAAATGGTTTCCATAGCATTCCGGCGTAAGTCTTTTCTTGATGGATCAAAAACGCCTCCGAAATTGTAATTTGCATCTTGAAAAATATAAGATGGGTAAATTAGTAATACCTTTCTGTCGAAAATCATAACAAGAACGTCTACGAACCTTTCTTCCACTGCTTGTAATGCTTCTGAATCATGCTTTGAAGTTGCAACTTCACTCCTTTTTTAAATGATTTGATGGTTTGTCGGCGTTTTGGGTCTAGTTTTTTATACAAGATGCGAGAACGAGAAGCCGACGTGCCACTGGAAGAAAAACTAGATGAAGACATCCTTGTTGCACTCGTCATGGCTGATGCAAATGAAAGACCAGAAGCAACAGACAGTGGCGACGGAATAATAGAAGTTCCATTGGATTGATTTGAAATAGGAAATGTAGAAATCGGTGAAGACGAGGATGTTGAATCATCATCAAAGATGTGATCTTGAGATTCGTCTTGAGATGAACGGGTAATTTTCATAGACTTGGATCTTTCTAATCTCTCATTCCCAATAATGGAAGGTTTTGAAGATAGCCTCGATACCATAGACTTGGATCGTTTTAATTTCTCATCACCGATGATGGGAAGTTCTGATGAGTTAGGCAACTCCTCCTTGTCCATCGATGTCTGGTTTGACTGTTCTTGATGTATAGATTTTAACTTTGCCGAAGATCTTGGATCAACAAAGTCAATAATCGTGGCGTCTCCTATACGATGGAGAAGGTCCATAGATTGCTGTTGCACCTTTGCAGTTCTTCGATTAGGTAAAATAGATTGATTGATTCCTGCTCTAAGACATTTAATGAAGGCATAAAGCTGAGCTAGTGCATCTATAAAACAAAAAATAAAATAAGATATAAAACAATCAAAAGCTGATATAACACTCCGCAATATAACAAAACTTACCCATCATCCACTCGCCGAGGGGTGTGTCGTGTCTGACGGGAAATATGTAATAAATAGTTTCCGCCACTTCACCAAGATCACCAGCAGCAGTTGTATCTGGTACGTTGCGTGTGGTCAAATCATTGTAAATTCGAGGAGTTTCTCCTACTGCATCACTATATTCATCGAATTGCACTTGACTCGATTCTCTTGAATGATACGATGAAACATCATCATTTTCTTCAGGAATTGCTGGTAATGGTTTTTCTTCTTTTATTGCTTTCGATCGGAGATTTGTTATTCCGCTTAATGATTCTACTTTCCAGACCAAGCGTCGCAAGTTTTCCAACATTTCCAGAATCTAAATGATTTCAAAGTTAGATTTCGTCATGATTCTGGTTAACAATCTAAAAACATACAAGAATAGAATAGGTACTGAACCTGCGCGTCTCCAAGAGAAGAATTGTCATTATTCCCATCACATATAATTGATAACTCAACAGCAACATCATAAATGATCTGCCGCTTGAGTACTTCCGCCAACTGTAGCTCATTCTCATTAAGTATTCGGTGACCACCAGTGAGGAATAAACCAACGTCATCGGTTTCGTTATCTTCATTGATGGGTCCGGTAACAAAAATCCTTTCCAAAAGACGAAAGTGATCATCAATTCCCAAACCTGCAATAACGCCTCTTATATTCATCGACATTAAAATAAATTCCGCAGGACTTTCATTCCAAGCAT